GATGATCATAATGGTCCCTTCTGACCTTAAAGTCTATGAGTCTATGAGTAATCTCCTGCTACTGGTAATGGAATCAACAGCAGCACTTACTCTTCTGGGCATCTAGCTCCAGATACTGATACCCTGGATACAGCAAAACTTGCAGCAGGAACTCCCCTCTGACTTGAGCAGTTGGTTCTTCATGAACTTTTCTTTCTCTCCAGTGTCTGTGGAGAATGGTGCGGCTTCTTCCTGAAACCATCAATAGCATCAACCTGGACCGAATCCTGCTGGACATACACATTTTCATGAAGGTGTTTCCTAAGGAGAAGCTGAAGCAGTGTAAAAGTGAATTCCCCATAAGGACACTTAAGACTCTGCTTCACACTCTGTGCAAGCTGAAAGGGCCCAAGGTTAGAGCAGAAACCAGCTATGTGCTTTAATTTAAGATGCTCAAGCGGTCTTTACAATTTTTATTATGTCTTTCTCAGATCTTGGACCATTTAACAATGATAGAAAACAAGAATGAATCTGAGCTGGAGGCTCACCTGTGTCGAGTAATGAAGCACTCCATGGATCAAATTGGAAGCAAGACTGATAAAGAGACAGAAAAGGGGGCGTCTCGCATAGTAAGTAACATGAAGTTAACAGTGGAGGTAGAGGTGGCAAATGAACTCTGTTCCAAGAAACAAGTTCCTAACTAGCTCTAGTCAGATGTGAAGTTAGGTTACCCACTGGAACATGTGATCTGTTTCTGAAATTGGTCCCTCTAATGCTGTGCCTCTGAGATGCATTAAGGCTCAATAGTACCCGTCTTGCTTGCTGAACGTGAGCTCTGATAATGGCTGGTCCACTAAACTTTAACTGTGGCCAGAACAGGCTTTAAATGCACGTCTCCCAAGATGAGACTTCTAGTCTGATGTGTCATCCTCTGTACCTGACATCCGTATAAACCCCAGTCTTGTAAAAGACAGTTCTTTTGACCCAGCTAGCCTGTGCTGTCGTGGGTGTGTCTGTCTGTCCCTGAAGCTCCACAGCAGCTGGTAGGTCCTTGGCACTTGAGTGTATTGTAAATTGTTTAGCTAAGTATCTCTAATTTTGGGGGGATACCACTTTAAACAATCTTGTTCAGGAGTCTCAATTTCTTTCTTAGGATGAAAAGTCTTCAAAGGCCAAAGTAAATGATTTTTTAGCAGAGATATTTAAGAAGATTGGCTCCAAGGAGAACACTAAAGAGGTGAGTGCACTTTTACCATAGGAAGAAGGGGAAGATTATACCACCTCATGTGCCTACTGCAGTTTGGGTAACACATAGATACTTTCCTCCTTCCCCAGGGTCTGGCAGAGCTGTATGAATACAAAAAGAAGTATTCTGATGCAGACATTGAGCCCTTCCTGAAAAACTCATCTCAGTTTTTCCAGAGCTACGTAGAACGAGGCCTCCGGCACATTGAGATGGAAAAGGAGGGCAAAGGACGCATTCCTTCATCTACAGGTACAGCGCTTCTTGGCAACACAAGTGAATTGGCCTGGGGACTTGGCATGCTGAATCTAGCTATAATGTGGCAACTGTAGCTGCTCCCATTAAGTGCCACTATGTTTGAGAGCCTTATGGGCTTCCAAAGTGACCCCCTTATTCTCTGAGCACTCGTTCGTGGCACATTCATGAAGTCACTATAGCACCTGTTGCAAAGACCACTCATGCTTTGCCACTCACCGGGAAGGTGCTGTGGTTACCTTACCGAATTAGGTGGGAAGAGATAGAGGTAAAGATCTGAAAGGACTTCAGTGCACATCATTCTGGTCATAGTTAGAGAAGTCCGCCTCTAAAAGAATATTCAAAAACTTTTACTCTGTCTAATGGAGTACAGTGCTCTGGAGTCCTGTGTTGAAGGCCTGGCAAGCAAGCGATTCTTGTTGCAGCAGCTGCAAAATTCTCTCTCTTCTTTTAGGGCCGCTAAAATAGTGTCATAGGATCTTTGCATGAAACTGTCAGACTGAAGCAAGGCATAAACTTCGTATATTTCACATCAACACAGCAGACATAAGATATAGCTTTTTCTTCTAATTTCCCCAATCTTGGCTAGGAATAGCCTGGCAACCCTTAGTAGGAGCAGTCTATATCAGGTAAGCTGTTAAGTCACCCTGTAAATGTCCCAGGAAGCCAGGGGATAGTCACAGTTCTCCATTCAAAGCTTGGTCACCACAGAGGCCTGCTTAATGGGCTATCTTGTTTACTAAATCCTTGCTCCCTT